AAAAAAAAATCAAAATAAATTATGATGTTGAAAGACTCGTAATCCTAGTCATAAGACCAAAATAACCTCCTAGAAAGAAAATTAAAAAAAATGACATGATTTAACTAGGATTAAAATATCAAAACTCGTGACCCTGATAATGAGACAATATTTCTCCATATAAAGCAAATCAAGACAGATTATGATGTTCAATTCTCAACCGACGCAATATTGAATGGTGAAATTGAAAAAAACATATCAATTAAAAAAAGACACAAAAAACAATCTAAGTCAATTTGGGTTAACTCGTTAAGTATTATTCTCAAGTCTTGAATTTAGAATAGCCTACTAGAAAGAAAATAAAATAATCACACAACCTAATTCTCAATTAATTCAATTTTCAATAAAAAAAATTAAAAAAAAAAGATAATTAAGAAAAAAAAACTTGAATCAACCAAGTTAACTTATCAAACTCATGATTTGTGTTATAAGAGTGGAATAAGTTGAAAAAAATAAATATAATATTAAATAATAAAATTAAAAAAAATATTGATTGAAACAATCAAAAAACAAAAAGCACTATTCTATGAATAGTGCCATATTAGGAGTACAATCAAAATTCTTTTTTGTTTTTCAGTTTTTTTTTTTGTTAATAAAACAATTTTAAGAATTTTCCACCGATTTGTAAAAGGATTAATTAGGGCTATGTATTTAGAATTTTTTAACAAAAAAAAAAAACTTCTATGTCATTTTAACGGCTGAAAAATTCTCTAAAATTTGTGTACTTATAATTACAGATACATTGAGGGACTTCTAGATGCTGTTTATTGTTTTTTAGTTTCCTCTTTTGCATGTTCAATACGTGTAAACGGAGGGATTTCATCCCTTCACAAGAAATGAGGATTTCTCATTCCCAAGCCTCAAATTTCTTTAAAACTTGTATGAGTGTGGTGAAAGGTTTTTATTTCTAATCTGCTGGAAAATTGAGACTTCGGGTGCAACTAATATTGTCCAGCTACTACTACAAACATTAATACCTACGAACATCAACAAGAAAGATTAACATTATTAATCCACCATAAATAATAATGGAAATGAGGGATCCAGGATGCATGTGGCTTCCATGTTCAAAACGAGATTCTTATTGATGCTTAACCGCAAGGAGAAAATGGTTCCACAATGATATTTATATATATATAGTAATAATTAATTATACAAAAATCAGAAATCACATTACGTCTACTTCCATTGATTGGCAACAATGTCAGCCAAATCCACGACCCTTTGGGAGTAACCCCACTCGTTATCATACCAGGCAATCACCTTAACCATGTCGTCTCCCATCACCATTGTTAGTGATGAATCGACTGTTGAGGAGACATCGCTGCACCTGAAGTCAACTGAAACAAGTGGCTCATCACAGACTGATAGGATACCCTTGAGCTCCTTCTCAGCACTCTCTCTAAAACCTTCATTCACCTCTTCAGCGAAGGTCTTCTTGGAGACCTGGACAACAAGGTCGACCACCGAGACATTTGGGGTGGGAACACGCAGGGCAATGCCGTTAAGTTTACCCTTAAGAGTGGGAAGGACGAGGGCCACTGCCTTTGCTGCACCGGTTGATGTTGGAACAATGTTAAGAGCTGCAGCTCTTGCACGTCTGAGATCACGGTGACTAGCATCAAGCAGTCTCTGATCTCCAGTGTATGAGTGAGTGGTAGTCATGGTGCCCTTGATGATGCCTGTCACAGATTGTCATTCAATTTCGATGTTATTAAGGCATTTTTGTTTCGTTAATTACTAGAAATGCGCAACCAAATTTATTCCAAGGTTTGCTGTGTCGGTGACTGTTCTTCTTTTCAGCTACTACATATTGCCTACTAGCTCTCAATTACAACAGTGAAGTTGTGTTTTCTCAAAAGCTCAGGATTCAAAGTTTGCAGCTCTTAACATACATGGAACGCTAGAGCTTTTCGATTGACAGGAAAGTAGCAAAGAGGCAGAGAATTAATGAGGAAAGGGAAAGTGTCAATAGATTTAATTACCAAACTTCTGGTCTAGGACCTTGACGAAGGGAGCAAGGCAGTTAGTGGTGCAAGAAGCATTGCTGATGATAGGTTCATCAGGGTTGTAGGCGTCAGCATTGACTCCAACAACGTAGGTTGGTATATCACCCTTTCCAGGGGCTGTGATGAGCACCTTCTTGGCCCCTGCTGTGATGTGCTTCCCTGCACCTTCCCTGTCGACGAAAACCCCCGTACCTTCTATCACCAGGTCGACCTCCATGTCCCTATAACATCAAACGAATTGGCCAGCCCATCATTAGCACACGTATTTCATACGATCAACTATCTAATATGTGAACATCATGTGTAATTCAAGTCTTCATTGGAGAAGACAACAAAAGCGAAAGAGACACTTACTTCCAGGGAAGGTCGAGAGGGTTGCGGCTAGAAACGACCTTGATGACCTTGCCATCAACAGAGATGGCATTATCACCAACAGGCTTAACGTCAGCATCGAAGATGCCAAGGGTGGAGTCATACTTGAGAAGGTGGGAGGCCTGCTTAACACCACCAGTGTCGTTGATGGCAATGACGTCAAGAGGGGAATCCTTGCGTCCATGCCAGCACCTCAAGAAGTTCCTGCCGATCCTGCCAAACCCGTTTATGGCCACTTTTATCTTTGCCTCTGCGGCACTTTTTCTGTATCCTCCACTGCTGTTTCCAGTCTTCACAGTCACATCAGAATAAGTTTAAAAAAAACAAAATCAATGAATATCAGTTAACTGGAATATGTAGCATATGTTTGTTTCCTACCACATTTAGAACACTAGACCAATATATATATATATATAATTAACTGTTAGCAAATTATTGCTAAAGATATACTACCTACATTTTGGATGAAAATTAAAATTCTAATATCTGAACTTGCATAGCAAACTTCAGTCTGTATGTCAGACTATTGAATTACCAAGATCCAAGAACCTTAGCTACTGACCTTTGCTTTCTTTTTCTTTTTCTTTTTTTAATGTTTAACTTCAAAGTGACCCTTCTCTTCTTTCTTACACGTTTAAAGATTTCCATTCTTCCACTATTTTGTCAGAAAGCATCCGTCATATATATTAGGCCTATTTCATGTAGTTTCCCAGTACATCCAGCTTTTAATGCAGCCAGACATGTTTCTTATCTGATAGTTCATGTCTATTACAATATTTCCTACAGTGTGAATAAACTGTTGTGATTAAACTACAATGCTTGGTTAATGATTGATAGCCTGTCATGTGTTTATTTGTCTACGTCCGCTACTAATACTACGACTACAAATGGGAAATTGATGTAACGAAGCTTACTGCAGAGGTCTGGAAAGCAACGACAGAAACAAAGTCATCTGATGTCTTTTTCGTAAAGGGAAGGAAAGCTGATGAACTGCGGAGGCCTGAGAAATCTGTAAATCCCTTTCCACTTGCCTGTATCATAACCAAATAAATTAAGAAACTTTAACATAAACCCGAAACCAAAAACACACCAGGTACAAGAACAGGTTAATAAAGCTTAGAGTGTAAAGAAGCATAAGAGTTGCGAGCATTGGACCTGAAGAGATGGTTTGGCTACAGAGAAGGTAGCCGAGGCCATTATGGTAGGAATAAACACACTGACAAAAGCAGAAATTCTCTTTCAATTAGTAGTAGTGCTTGTGTTGAGTGTAGCAGCACTACTAGTAGAGAAGGGTGGTTTGAGAGAAGACAGACTGGAGAAAAAATAAGAGAGGATTAGATTATGGATAGCCTCTCATTCAATGTATGGCTGTGGTTATGCTTTGCGTTTGTGTCTCCAAATCTCTACCATTCCATTTTCCAATCATGTAGAATTGCACAATCGTGTGTAGACTGTGGAGTCTTGAGACTCTCTACAGCATCTGGTTTTCAATCTTTGGGCCTCCACCTTTGATTTCTTGTAAGTGGGCCAAACTAGCTAGCTCTTGCCTTCTTCAAACGAGGTCGTATTGGCACTTGCAATAGAATATTCATTATGGGGAAAGAATTTTGGATAGCGCGGAAGGGAAAGGGATGAATGGCCTGTGTTTGTTTGGCATGGCATGATCTTTTTCAGCCATTGCTATCTTCCCAAATGAATTACAGCCATGTTCTCATCTGCCGCTTTTAATGGCCAGCGTTGTCAGTTCCTTCTTCTCTTGTATGATTTACAGAACGGCCATTATCGAGCGAACTCGCCTGTGGCTTTTTTCTCGTGCTATTGGGAATGGTTGATGACCTAGCTATAAGTATAAGAATGCCATCACCACTAAGATATTGATCAGTATTGTGCTACTTTTTACTATTTATTTATTTATAAAAAAATTATTCAGTTAGGTAAATGATTTTTATTTTTTTATTGGCCCATTTTAAATTTTGATTTTATAGAAACTAAAATGACATTTCTTTCTTTTATTTTGTATGTAGAAATTTTAACTAAACATATTTTTGAAAAAAAAAATGAAACAATAGTTCATTGATTTATATATAAAAATAAGCTCGCATTTAACCCTTTTAGCATTGTTAAATTAAAAGGGTATATAGATGTAATGAAATATAAATTAATATCTCAATAATCTCTTTACAGGATTAAGAAAAATATTTTAGAAAAACATATCAATTGAGATTACTAGGTACTACTAGAAAGGATAATAATATTAATGTTGGATATAATAATAAAGGTAATAATATTAATGATGATGATCGTAATACTAGCTTTAGTTATATGATGATGCTAGTAGTTAAAGTGATAATAAAGTTATGATGGCATGATAGTAATAGTAAGATGATGGTATTAGTAACATGTAATTATATTTTTTTTATGAATTTAAAATATTTTTATTTAAATGAAGACTATCAAGGTTTAAATAGAAAAATTAAGTTGTATAACATTTTTAATTTATTATTTCTTGTATATTCTTATGATGAAAATGTGTTAATAGTAGTGTGATAGAAGATGAGTTATATACTCTTAACAATTTTCATATCTTGATATATCATGTGAAATATAGCATAATATTTTTTATAAAAAATTATTTATATGAGTGAAAAATATAATCGTTTCTTTAAGGATTTTAAAACAATTGAGTTTTTCAAAGTTCTCGTGAAGCCTAGAGTTGTTTTAGGCCAAATAAACAAAATCATGATAACCAAATAAAATCTTTATGTAAAGAATTATATGAATATTATTATCTTACTTTATATAAAAGGTTGAATAGTTTAAGATATCACGTTTATCATTTGACTATGTAAATTCAATAATATTTCACTAAGAAAGGTTCAATTTGAAAAATTCAAAACCTTTTATCTCACATAGAAAAGAATCAAGTTTCTTAAAAACAAGATTTTTTTTTATATAGTTTATATAATAGGAATATAAAAAAATTAAAATTAAATTCAAATAGCATCAAAACTTTTAAAGAGAATAGGCCAATTAAAGTGGGGTTTGGGCTTAAAACTTTACACATATACATGTTTGGTTCATCATTGAGCCTAAGTCTAGGTATAGGTTTAGGTTTGGATTTACCATGAAATAATTTTTTAGACTATAAAAGAATTATTTTTTATCAACTTATTTTTAAGTTTAGGTTGGAGTTTATGATTTTTTTCGCGTATAAAAAGTATTTTGGTAGCCTATTAGTTTGTTTAGGGTATAAATAAAGAGTGAAAAGTTTCTTCCAGCTAGATAGTTTTTATTCAAATAAAATGTCATATTTAATGCCAAACTATCATCTAATTATGGTTTATGGTAGGTAATTAAGATTGATAATAGCATAAATTAATTTTGGTACTTTATATTAATTTTAATTTCAAATTTTTTATTAAAAAAAAAGGACTAAAGGAATATTCTGGACATATTATTATAGAATTTTTTATACTTTTCTTCACCTCAGCTTTCAACTTATTCTCTTTTATTTTAAGCTCTATTTTTCCTTTATGTTTAAGCTTTTTTTTTCCTCTATGTTTTTCTTTTACTCTAGAGCTTAAATTCAGTATTTGTAAAGAGATATTTAAGTTAAATTTTTTTAAGTTGAACATTATTTAAAAATACATCTAAACAACGATGATTGCAATGGTATTGGAATCGTTGCACATATTATGTTTACTATAAAAGAGTGATAGAATTTTAAAAATAAATAATTGATTATTGATAACAATAATTTTCAGCTTGATCAAATTATAAGTACTTTAACAAATAAATATTCTACATTGATTTTTAAAATGTAAATTTAATACATGTTTAATATGCATATTAGTATTATGTTTAAATCTTTTATGTAAGCTTTATATTTTCATAGTATAGTATCCATGCTATTATTTTATTTTGATTCCAAGTTGATATTAAGATTTACCAAACCTAAAGAGGTCCAAAATAATTCAACATATATATATATATATATATGTCAAGGAAAGAAAAAGGAAAAGAAAAAAGCAATGCATGAGGTGCTCAGACAAATAGAATTTTGGTGATGCGTAATCTTCTATTTATATACCAACTGCAGATTTCACCAACCTGGTCGATCCAACATAGAAACTATTGATTTATGTGATCCAAAGCTACTAATAAAGAGAGGCAGCAGAGTCGTGTTCAGTGCCATATAATTTATGTGGAATCAACGGTGTGTATAAATCTTCAATTCGATCTTTCACATCATGGAGACAGGCAGAGCAGCCCTTTGGGAAATAAATTGAACTTGGACTTCATCTGTTCCTTCTAAAATAATTCCATGTGTACGGCCCTCGTTCATGATTATTCAATGATTAGGAAACAATTCAAAAGGTTGGTGTATATTAAATAAACTATGTGATAATAAATAAATATTAAAAATAAAATTTAAAAATCAAGAAATATATATATATAAATTAAAATATTTAATTTTATAAGATAGCATATTTATCCTATCATATTTGTTAATTTTTATGCATTAAAATATATTTTTTTATTTAATCAAACGATAATATAAAAAGACAAATACATTAAATTAATTGAATAAAATAAAAAAATAACATTTAGGGCTTCATATATTAGAAATATCATTTAAAAATAAATATTAAATGCACAATTAAAATAATCATTATTATTTAAAAAAGGTTTTCTAAATAGAATAAAAGAGAGAATGAGTATTAATATAAATATAATTAAATGTTTTTAGAAAAAATAAGCATTAATCGAAAAAAATAGAGAAAAAAAAGACTAGGTGTTATTGGATTTGACAAGCCAAACTAGCTCGGCTAGACCATTTTACTAAATCTCAAGCAACTGGACCTCTTTTTTTTTGCACCTGGGGTGGACAACATGTTATTCACCTTTAATAAAAAACAAACAATGCATTACCTGTTTTGCCCACATTTAGGGCACTATGGTGGCCAGAAAATCAAGATTTATATTTTATGATTCAAAAACCTATTTTTCAACATATTTGTTTAATCAAAACACCTATAAAAATACTCTATAAACTATGATAAACCTATCAATAGTCTAAAAAACAAAAACAAAAAACATCTCAAAAACCAAACTCAACCCAAAACTAAAAATTAACCCGAGGTTAAATCTTTTTTTAAATGAAATTTTAAGGTGTAAAAACAATTGATATAAACTTTCTTTATCAAATATAATAATTTGACACAAATACTCCCTATTTTGGTGGTATAAATCGGTATCAATGACATGTTTGTCTCTTTACTAATGTAATCTAGCGATCTCTCTCTCGCCTCTCTCAATTAGAGATCAAAAAATAATAAAAATAGATTTTTGTACTAAAATAAAATTAGAACAATTTCAAAGGACTGAAATTGTATAACTTACATGATTGTTTTAGTTTGAAGAACAAAATGCATCTTTTTTGAAACTTATGGTATGCCATCATATTAGCCATATTTTTTAATTTGGTCCCTCCTCTTCCAATCTCAGTTTTTTTATAAGAATTTAAAATTAATTGATCTTTAAATAGGATTAAATTGCATAAAAAATGTTTTGAAGAGAAAATTAAAAAAATATATAAAAAGTTTTGCATAGTTCATCCACAATAAAAATATAAGAGGATGAACAATGAAAAATCCACGTAGTTTGGAGTATAAATTAATATATGATGAGTCGGTATTTCGGACTCAACATTTTTATATTTTGAATGTCAAGACCCATAAATATAGTTATTTAAAAGAGTTGATTGTTCTTTCAGAGTAAATATTTTTAAAAAATTTCAGTAGAGTTTCTCTTGTATTTTTAATACCAAGTTATCGACTCAAAAATAAAAACTTATAAGTAATAACCACAAACTCATCCCAATATAATTAAATTTCATAACTCGACTAAAAACATCAATTTCCATGTCCATTTTAGTTTATTTATTTTTATTTTTTTAAGAGTTAATATTGTATGATTTTATATACAAGATTTAAAACTAATTTATACACAATAAGCATTAATTTCATAGAACACAAACACATTCAAATATAAATACATAAAAGTATATTGCTAGCTAAAGTAAGGACATTGTCCTTAATTACATACCCGACAAAAAGATAATTTAAACATTTAAAATTCCTTAACATACAAGTGATACAATAACAAAACATTAATACTTTTAATATAAAAAATAATTTAAACAAAAATTTTCATCTATGTACCTACTTTCTTGCTCGAGGATGCGAGGTACTTTACAACACATTTATATAACATGTGAATACTAGGTAAAAGTTAGAAATTTACACTTAATAATATATTATTAAAATAAGAACTATTTGAAGCATACATAATAATATATGTACTAACT